GGGGGGGGGGGAGTCCACGGGCATGCACTGTGCTCTGCACTCCAGGGGATGCCTGTGGGTCAAGGGCACACACTTGACTGGGGCAGGGGTTTCGGAGCTGAAACTCAGGTGTGTCTCTTCACATGTGCCTCTGAAGGACCTTCAGCTACATTCTGCGGGAGCTCCCAAAGGTGCCGACCCATGTGCCAGTGTGCGTGCTGGGGAACTACCGGGACATGGGTGAACACCGTGTCATCCTTCCCGACGACGTGCGTGACCTCATCGACAGCCTGGACAGGTGGGCGCCATCAGGGAGCCTGCTGAGGAGGCCTGGGAAGAGGGCCTGGGGCCATGGAGCCGAGGGGGACCCGTGGGATGGAGGGAGGGTAGGACCACTCTGCAAAGGGAATGGGGACTGAGGGCCAAGGGTGGCAGCTGCCTTCCTGGCACCAAGCAGGCGGATGAGGGGTGGGTGCAGTTCCCAGTGCAGGCAGTACTCTGTAGGCACATGGCTAAGCAGAGCCACCGAGGCTTAGGTCTAGGCCCAGGGACCAGGGGCAGTGACCTGCAGAAGGCACCTCAGGTGGCGGGGGCAAACAGGCAGCCTGGCCCGGGGACATCCTCGACCCACCGCACCAGGTGCCTCACTGGTCTTCCCACTAACAGACCACCGGGCTCCTCCTACTTCCGCTACGCCGAGTCCTCCATGAAGAACAGCTTTGGCCTGAAGTACCTTCACAAGTTCTTTAATATCCCGTTCCTGCAGCTCCAGGTGAGCCCTGCCCTGCCCTCCCAGGTGCTGCACTGGCCATGAGTGGGGTGAGTGAGGCTGGAGAGGGGTGGTCACTGCAGCGGCGTCTGCTCAGGTTTCTGCTTCCTCCCCGCAGAGAGAGACGCTGCTGCGGCAGCTGGAGACGAACCAGCTGGACATCGATGCCACACTGGAGGAGCTATCGGTGCAGCAGGAGACTGAGGACCAGAACTACGGCATGTACGCCACCCAGGGGGCCCTGAGGCTGGGCCCATGCAGGGTCAGCACCCTGCCTGGGTCTATGTTGGTGAGACAGGAGGGACAGTGCCACCGTTCTTGCAGACCTGTTGGCCTGGGTGATGTGTGCAGCTCCAAAAATCCGGGTAATGGAGTGCAGGTCCCACAGGAAGGGGGTGAGGGTGGCCCTGCCGTGCCCCAAGCCTGCAGCCCCTCTGTTCCTGGGTCAGGTTCTCTATTAATGTCGGTAATGAAATACAGTAAAACAAGCCCTCATCTAGCACAAGTGGATTAGATTTTCAGTGGGATCCACCTGACTTCTGGAAGAGCTTCCCGGCTCCTCCAGGTGCTCCTGAGGACGGGACAGTGGATACTTTGAGACCCTGCCACCCCTGGCCACCACGCTTCTTGGGCTCTAGCCTTTTTAATTGTCCTGCCAGGACCCACCATACCTCTGAGCTGATGGGTGTAACTGGGGACTGTCAGTTCACCAGAGATGGCTGCTCTGCTGCCGCCCACACAGCCACCTGGCCATGGGGATGGGCACACAGGTGGGCAGCTGCTGGCGCTGCACCTGCCTCTGCCCAGAGCAACCTCACCTGTTGGCTGCTTGGTGTGTGGTGCTAGGTGCCACTGGCCAGGCAGCACGCTACCGGAGGCCCCAGGGACACTAGCCACCCTGGCGTGTTCTGGCTGAGGCTGCCATCCCTGTTTTGAGCCTGGTTTTCCAGGTTGAGACCAGCGTAGAGGAGGGTCTTCAGAGAGCTCCTTGATGTTGGGGTTCATGGGGCAGGGATGGAACCTTCTGGTCTTTGACAGCAGAGGTAGAGGGGCCCTGCCTGTGGGCTGAGCAGCCTGTGCATCTCTATCAGGATGGCTGAGTGGGTGGGGAGCAGCACCCCTGCTCTGTCAGGGTCCTGGATTCCCCAGAGCTGGTGGCAGCCTGTCCGCCCTCCACAGTGCAGGGGAGGATGCTTGTGTTTCAGGGCGGCAGGTGCGGAACTGGCCTGAAGGTCAGGCCCATCTGTGCTCACGGCCCTCGTCCCTGGTTCTGGCTGCAGCCCAAGCAGGACCCTTGCACCCTACTTTCCCCAGCAGGAGTCTGTCCCCAACGGACTTCCCAGAGCCAGATCTGGCTGTTGGCTCTGGAAACAAGAGGGCATGTCCACCTTGAGGGGGCCCCGCCCTACAATAGCTGCTCTGCTGCTATAGGGTTTACTTTGACCGAGCTTGGGCACCCAGCACCGCTAGCACATTGTCCCCTGGGGAGACAGCATTGGCACCCTGCCACCCAGGACTGAGCCTCTGGAAAGTTGGGGGTTTGGCAGCTGTCCCCATGCCATATCCATAGGAGATAGGGGCTGGCCTGGTTGAGGACTGAACCAGCTTCCTGCTGTGGGGCCAGAGGCTGGACTCCACTCTTGGCCTGCACCAGACCCCAACCCCAAAGTCCAACCTAAGGGTTAGGGTGGCCAGCCTAGACACCACCTCCCAGTCCCCAGCTTGCAAGCAGAGACTGTGAAAGTCCCCCTTCAAACAAGAGCACGGTGGTCCTCAGCCTGCAGACAGTGGGACTTGTCTTGGGTTCAGTCCTGCCATCTGCACACATGGGCACAGGGCATGGGTGGGGAGGGGCAATGCTGGCCTGTCAGCCCCTCCCCTTCTCCCAGGGATACTCTGCTTGATGTCGAGGTTTGAGAAGCTGAGCCTGAGGACAGGGATACCTGGCACTGAAGACGAGGAGATGAAGGCAGGTGTCTCACTCCTGTCCTGTGTCCCCCCAGCTTCCTTGAGATGATGGAGGCGCGAAGCCGTGGCCACGCATCCCCACTGGCAGCCAATGGGCAGAGCCCGTCCTCAGGCTCCCAGTCACCTGTGGTACCTGTGAGCGCCATATCCACGGGGAGCTCCAGCCCCAGTACACCCCAGCCAGCCCCACAGCCACCCGTCCACACCCCCTCAGCCTGCCCCTCCCCACCATCCCCCTCAGAGGCTCCACTACCCCCGGCACACCCTGTGGCCCCCGCTCCGGCCCCGAGACGCAGCATCATTTCCCGGCTGTTTGGGACCTCAACAGCTGCCGAGGTGGCCCCTTCCCCCCCAGGTAGGCCCCAGGGTGGTCCCTCAGGAGGTGTGGGTGGCCCAAGTGGTGACACCGTCGCCCTGGCCCTGTAAGCTCCTCAGACTGGATGGGGTCCCTTTCCTTCTGGGTGAGCAGCTTGACAGCCTGGTCACACATCAACCCCTGCTTGTGTCCTGGCCCTGCAGGCACAGATCAAGTCCCAGCTGCAGAGGCCCCAGCAAAAGTCCAGGACGTGGAGGAGTTTGTCCCTGGGGATGGCCTTGACCACAGCTTCCTGGATGACATAGCACCCCCGAAAGATGAGAGGACCGTTGAGACCGAGGTCCCTCGGGACAGTGACAGGTAAGGGTGGGGCCAGGCCTTCTGTGAGCCACAGACCTGTACCCTCAAGGGCACCTCTCAGGCAGCAGCTGTCCTTGGCCCTCGGCCCTGCCCGCTCCCCCCCCCACCCAGACCCACTCCAAGCATCTCCAGTAGCATCACCATGTCCCTCTAAAAGGATGCACAGTGACAAGATGAAGCCAGCACCACACTCCTTCCTGAGTGCCCTACACCACCTGCCAGCCCCCACCCTACACCCCACACCCTGCAGGAAACAACAGACCCTCCTGTGGCTTCTGCTGTTCGGGCAGCATCCCATCCCTCTCCTTGGACCCACCTCACGCCCTCCTGCAGGCCTCTCTGCTGCTGCTGCCACAGCAGTGGGGCCCCCACAGAGCAGCCCCAGAGATGGCCCTGGAGTAGGCTCTTCTCCCCGATCTGTCCCTGTGGAACACAGGGAGCAGCCTGTGGTTGCTGGAGGTTCCCGAGCTCAGGGTGGGGAGCCAGATGCCCACTACCCCCTCACGACCTCTGACCTCCCTGCCCCTCCTTTGCAGTGACGGGGAGGCCCTGGGAGGGAACCCAATGGTGGCAGGTTTCCAGGATGACCTGGACCTCGAAGATAAGCCGCCCCACAGGCCCCTGCTGCCCGCCAGTCCTGTCCCCAGGGAGAGCGTCACTTTTTCCAGTGAGGAGGCTGCAGGACACCCCAAGGCTGCTGCCCTGGCCCCCCAGAAGTGCTCTGAGCCAGAGACCAAACAGTATGTGGGGGTCCCTGGGGGAGGGGCCCAGGAGGAGGGGCAGACAGGCCCCCTGACACCTCCTTGTTCTGAAGGTCCTCCACGAAGGCTCTGAGGCCACACAGGAGTGCAGCTCCCAGGACAACAGAGCCCTGCCGGCCCCTCGCTGAGGGCACCTCTCAAGGGCACAGGGATGGGAAGGAGGAACCAGCAGCGTCATCAGAGAGTGACCCTGAGGGGCCCATTGCTGCCCAGATGTTGTCCTTCGTCATGGATGACCCCGACTTTGAAAGTGACCCGGACACTCCACGGAGAGCGGTGAGAGCCCCGAGGACACATCTGGGACAGCATCGTGGGAAGGGGTAAAAGCTCCAAGTGCTGGGAAATATCTCAGCAATGCCAGAGCTCGAGGTCAGCCATGTGGCCCGTCCCCAGAGCCTGTTGGCCCAGTGTGGTGACAGAGGGGAGGGGCTTTGGCATCCTGGCTGCCACACTCAGGCACTGCCATCCCTCTGACCCTGGATCAGGTGTGGGGGCCCCTCTAGGAAGCTTGTCACCTGCCCAGGAAATGGTGGAGCCCAACTATCCAGGTGACACGGCCGCCCCACCTGCCTGCTCCTCCAGGATGAGTTCCCAGTGCGAGAGGATCTCTCCGATGTGACCGACGAGGACACGGGCCCTGCCCAGGCACCCCCGCCCCCCAAACCTCCAGCCCCCTCCTTCAGAGTGAAGAGTGATGCAGATCTCTTTGGCTTGGGGCTGGAGGAGACCGGCCACAAGGCGAGCAGCAGTGAAGGTAGCTGGGGGCCTGAGGCATAGTCCTCACCCTGGGGTCCCTGGGCCACAGGGCACATTTCTGATCCCCTACCTGTCCCTTATACCCAGGGGGTCCTTAGAGCAGCAGGGCCACCCTACAGGTTCCACCGAAAAGCCCTACCCCAGGTCTCAGCCCTGCTTGGGGTGTAGCTGTGCTCTGAACACATCCCGGACCGGGGCTGGCCTGGCCTGCGGCCCTCGGTGGAAACACTGGCATGGTCTCGGCCTGCTGAGCCGCCACGGCCCCGGCCCTGTCCGTGTCCCTGCCCTTCACCCAGCTGAAAGTATCGCCTGGGACATGTCCCAGGATGGAGAGGACAGGGCCTCCCAGGCTCGCCCTGCAGGTGGAGGGTGTGCCTGTCAGAGAGTGCACTGCGGTCCCCGCCGTCCAGGCTGGGGGGCAGCGGGTGCGGGCCCCGAGGCTGGGATGGGGCGCTGACGAGGGTCCACCCTGCAGAGAAGGACAAGGCTCCCTCCCGGGAGAAGAAGAAGAAGAAGAAGAAGGACAAAGAGGTATGG